AATTGATGTCATTCTCCGTGTTGCAGCTGGTACGTGTCCGAAGCAGAAGATGGTGGCTTAGAAGTCAGGATGGTGTCTTGTGGGGTCCCACACTCCCCCCATTTCCTGAGTGCTTATTATGTGACAGGCACTGTGTTAGTGGTGTGCGTGCTAAATTGCTTCAGTAGTGTCTGACTTTTTGCAACCCTATGAACTATAACCAGCCAGGCTCCTCTGTCCATGGGATTTCCCAGGCAAGAATACTGGAGTGGGTTGCCATTTGCTACTCCAGGTGATCTTCCCAACCCAGGGATCGAACCCCCATCTCATGTCTTCTGCACCGGAAGGCTGGTTCTTTACCATTAGCATTACCTGCTAAGCCTACTGGGTTAGCTGCTCACATGCAAATCTCATTCAATCATCTCAGGCTTAGGGATAGAAATTGTAGGTAGATAGGGTAAGGGGTCCCAGAGAAGGAGAACCAGGCATGGCTTTCTTGACAGAAGAGAACCATTTTTTGGCCTAAGTCATTTTGTGATCTAAGCCTGGGGCACAAATCTTGCCCTTGAAAGGGTCTCAGTAATTAATGATCTTAAGAAGGGACGTGGCATCACTGACTCCATGGACATGAGTTTGAGTAAGCTCCGGTAGTTGGTGATGTACAGGGAAGCCTGGCTTGCTGCAGTCCATGGGGTCGCAAAGAGTCGGACACAGCTAAGCAACTGAACTGAACTGAACTGAAGAAGGGATGTGAGGGAATGAAGGAACAAAGGAAAAGCAGTCAAGAAACAATAGTTCAGTGATAAAACACTCCTAGGTCCTCCTTAAGGGATATACATAGCAATCTGATTATGTCTTTGAGTTCTGCAGGAACCGAGGCCTCCACCCAGGTGGAGGAGGGAATGATGATGTAGACACTCCTGCCTTCAATCAACTAAAGCCTGGACCCTTCATGAATATGAATGTACCCTTAGCTTAAACATCTACTTCTGCTTCATTGACTTCACTAAAGCCTTTGACTGAGTGCATCACAACAAACTGTGGAAAATTCTTCTAGAGATGGGAATATCAGACCACCTTATCTGCCTCCTGAGAAATCTGTATGCAAGTGAAGAAGCAACAGTTAGAACAGGACATGGAAAAACGGACTGGTTCCAAATTGGGAAAGGAGTATGTCAAGGCTGTGTATTTTCACCCTGCTTATTTAACATATATGCAGAGTAAATCATGAGAAATGCCAGGCTGGATGAAGCACAAGCTGGAATCAAGATTGCTGAGAGAAATATCAATAACCTTAGATATGCAGATGACATCACCCTTATGTCAGAAAGTGAAGAGGAACTAAAGGGCCTCTTGATGAAAATGAAAGAAGAGAGTGAAAAACCTGGCTTAAAGCTCAACATTCAAAAAGCTAAGATCATGGCATCCGGTCCCATCACTTCATGGCAAATAGATGGGGAAACAGTGGAAACAGTGACAGGCTTTATTTTCTTGGGCTCCAGAATCAGTGCAGATGGTGACTGCAGCCATGAAATTAAAAGATGCTTGCTCCTTGAAAGAAAAGCTATGACCAACCTAGATAGCATATTAAAAACCAGAGACATTACTTTGCTGACAAAGGTCCATCTAGTCAAGGTTATGGTTTTTCCAGTGGTCATGTATGGATGTGACAGTTGGACTATAAAGAAAGCTGAGCACTGAAGTATTGATGCTTTTGAACTGTGGTGTTGGAGAAGACTCTTGAGAGTCCCTTGGACTGCAAGGAGATCCAACCTGTCCATCCTAAAGGAAATCAGTCCTGAATATTCATTGGAAGGACTGAAGCTGAAGATGAAGCTCCAACACTTTGGCCACCTGACGGAAAGAGCTGATTCATTGGAAAAGATTGAAGGCAGGAGGAGAAGGGGAAGACAGAGGATGAGATGGTTGGATGGCATCACTGACTTAATGAACATGAGTTTGAACAAGCTCTGGGAGTTGGTGATGGACAGGGAAGCCTGACATGTTGCAATCCATGGGATTGCAAAGAGTCGGACATGACTGAGTGACTGAACTGAACTGAACTTAGCTTAAAACTTACCCAATTTTGCTGTTGGGAGACACTGCTTTGGGAAAAATCCCCAGTGTTCTCATTGTTATCATCTGCTTGTTCAGTGGTGTCTGATTCTGAGACTCCATGGACTGTAGCCTGCCAGGCTCCTTTGTCCATGGGATTTCTCAGGAAAGAATACTGGAGTGGGTTGCTATTTCCTCCTACAGGGGATCTTCCTGACCCAGGGATCAAACCTGTATCTCCTGCATTGGCAAGCAGATTCTTTACCACTGAACCACTTGGGAAGCTCCTATGTTCCAGTATTAATCCCTCCTTCTCCCTTTTTAGGGCTTGGTTGTGTCTTTTGGCTCAGCATCCACCAAGAGGTGAACCCAGTTTGGGGTTAACAAGATGACATATTCCTACTTTACAGGTGAGGAGGCCAGGGCTCAGAGCCCAAACTTGAACTGGATGTTAGGTCAGAACCCCTTCCCTTGTTTCTTTGTTCTTCCGTTTGATAAAACGTAGGGTTGCTTAGCTTAGCAATGTGATCTCAAACAGAACACTGTTTTTCTAGATATTTATAATCTCTCTGGTCAAAGGACCAGTATTAATTCCCATTATGTGCATCGGTCATTTTGCTCCCATTGTTTCAGAAGAGAAAACTGAGGCTTGAAGGGGCTGAGGACTGAAATCTGGGCCTGGCTGACCCCTCAACTGAGCCCTTTTGACTGAGAACAGTTTCCATGAAACTGGTTACATAGGCTCCAAACCTAAGCCCCTTCTAGGTTTCCTCCTGTCCCTTCCCCCATGTCCGTGCTGGCAAGTTATTTTGATTCATCCTCGAAAATATATCCTGAACCTCAGATGAGGGAGGGAGAAGAGCTGCTTTAGGGCTACTGTGATCTTTTGAAAATGCAGAGCAAAACATTGGGAGCTTTCCTAGTTGACTTGGAATAAGATCCCAAACCTTACCTAGCCCACAGGACAATGTGCCATCTAGCCCGGCTCTAGCCATCTCCTGTCTCCCACTCATGGCCACATCCCCTTGGTCTCAGCCTCAGTGGCTTCCTACCTTCCAATGTAATAAGAGACTGAAAGAGAAAACAGGCGCAGTATGGTCGCAGGGCAGCCGCCTGGTAAACGACAGCGTGGTAACAGTGGGACCGTGATCAAGAGGACAGTCCGTCAGGCTCAGCACTGTTGACATTTGGGGCAAGATCATTCTTTTGTTGTGGGGGCATCCTGAGCCTTGAAGAATATTTAGCAGCATCCCTGGCTCCCACCCACTAAAGGCTGGTGGCATCCCCTCTCAACTTATAACCAAAAACATTTACGGGTATTGCCACATCACCCAAGGAGACACAACTGCGTACAGCTCAGAATCATGTGTCTCAGGGAAAATGCTGCGGGAGTTGAGAGAGTGGCGTGGAGGCAGAAAGAAAAGGAGGTGGATGTGAAAGGCAGCAAGCCTGCCTCCCCCTCCTTGCAAAACTCCACTGTCAGCTCCTCTTGCTCTGTCTCAGGAGACTCTTTGTCTCTGCAGGAGGCTTCCTTCTGATAAGGCTGCAGTAAACTGCATGTGTGCCTCTGTGTGTGTGTGTGTGAGAGAGAGAGAGAGAGAGAGAGAGAGAGCTGGAGAGGGAAGGGAGAGAGGGAGAAAGAAAGGAGACAAAGAAAGGAGACAGTGATGGGTATGAGAATGAGAGGCTGCTGATAGAAAGGAAAAGAGCTCTGTGAGGCTGGAAGCCCCTCTGGCCTCCAGGTCCCCAGCCTCTGAACACTCTGAGCCACATCCCTGGAGGCTTTTGGCAATGGAGTCTAGGGTCCTTTACCCCTCTTCTAAGTGACCCCTGGAGATGACTCAGTGGCCTTATCCTCAGGCTGGAAGGAGTGTGGAGGGGGAAGCACCAGCCTGGTCTTGGCCCCCACCACCTGCGGCCCACCAGCTGTTCCTTTCCATCTGGCCTCTCAGATTCCTCAGAATCTGACTCCACCCCACTCTGGTTCAGCAACCATCCCCCTGGATCTGGAGACCTGGAGTCCTCTCATAGCTGCCTCCCTGCTTCCACCCTCACCCTTCCTATCGTTTGTTCTCCAAGCAGATGGAATGACCTATTATTAAAATTGCAATTCAGATCATGCCATCCTCGCTCACAGCCCTCCAGTGACTTCCTTGGGCCCCAGAATCAAATCCAAACATCCAAACCCCTGGTACACATTGAGGCAGGTGTGGTCCTCAGCCCCCATCTTTTACTTGAATTCCCCCTGCCTGCTTTCCCCAGTCCTGGGTCCTCAGCAGGCCTCACCAGACAGGCCTTCCCTTCCCTCCTCATCTTAACACATTTCCTCAAATTTGGGCATTTCCCCCCATTGCCTGTTTCAAGGCACTTTGGACCACAAGGCTTACCTTCTTTGTCGTCTGCCTCGCCTTGCCTGGAACCTCAGTTTCTTGTCTGTCATTAATTCCTGCATCCGCAGGGCCCATGTGGTGGGCACATAGTAGGGGCTCCATTCCATGGTCTCAGGAGCCCCTGTCCTTGCTATGACTCTGTCGACTAAAAAAAGATGTACAACTTGAGAGTTGTGAGTTAAGTTTCATTTGGGGCAAAATGAGGACTGCAGCCCGGGAGGCAGCATCTCAGACAGCTCTGAGAAACTGCTCCAAAGTGGCAGTGGGGGAAAGTCAATATATAAGGTTTTGGTGAAGGGGGAGTTCAGTGCCATGAATCACTCAATTTACTAAAGGTTTTTTGATAGTCATGAGGGTCTGATGTCAGCATGAAGGGATTTAGTGCTTCTCTAGATATGAGGAGATGCAAGGATTGAGACATAAAATCTGCTCCTAAAAACATCCCACTACTAAAGACCTGTCCCACCAGGTTCCCTGGAGCACAGGGTGCCTCACTCCACCCTGAACTCTGGGGGATTGTTGAAGGTCACCAGCTATAGCAGCATGGGGTTCGAGCTCCGTAGAGGCAGACGGTGAATGCCTTTGTTGTTCAGTCATCGGCAGTGCTCTGGTAAGTGCCAATTTGTAGCTGACAGCTCTGTGCCTCATCACGGGCTTTGTGGCCTTGGGCCTGGTGAGGCTCGCAGGCAGGGCTGGCTCAGCCCAGAGTGACGGGGCAGGAGGCATAGATTTAGCAGCCCTGTAAACGGGTGAAGATGTCATCAGAGGCAAATGCAAGATGTCCCCGGTCACAGCGGAGGGGGACACTTGGGGAGTTACGCATAGAAAGACTCTAATGATGACTCCACGGCTTCAAGAATCCGTTCCCTTCTTTCAGCAGTCTCGGGGGCGCTCTTTTTGAGAGTGCCTCAGTGTTACTATTATTAAGCTGGCTTCCCTCCACACGGAAGGACAATCCTGGGCGTAGTGCCCGGCTGCGCCCAGAGATGATCCTGGTGGGGAAAGGGGCCGCCCCTCCTCCCTTGGGCCCCGCCTGCGGAGTGCGCCACCAGAGGGCGCTCCAGGTCACCGCATCTTCCTGCAGCGGCCGCCAGAGGCAGCGGGGCTGGGTTTTGCTGCCTGTCCCACCTGCTGGGGCCTCTCTCTCTCTCTCTCTCTCTCCATCTCCCCTTTCTTCTCCCTCTCGCTCTCTTTCAGGTCTTCCTGTAGGAAGTGGGGCTGTATATGGCCTTCTCCATGGAGAGAACTCTACACCCCCACCCGCTCCCTGCAGCCAGTTCCTCTTTGAGCCCCTCACTGTTCAGTCACAGCCACTTGACTTTCTGAAATGGAAAAGGCTTATCGGGGTCTCTCTGCTTCACCTCACTGAGGGTGAATCTAAGGGCGAAACAAAATGTTAAACCTGGAATTTTTCTTTTTTGTCCTGATAGCTCGTGAGGTCTTAGCTCCCAACCAGAGATCCAGCCTCTGCAGTAGAAGCGCAGAGTCTTAACTGCTGCACCACCAAGACTCGATGTATATCTCGCCTCTGTCACTTAAGACCTGGGCCACCTGAGTTGGTTCCCTAATCTCTCTGAGCTCAGGCTGCAAACGTTGCAGCCTCTTAGGGAAGTGGGAGGTTACACACGCAACGTGTTCATCGCCGGGAGCGTCCCTGGTGGGTCACACCATAAAGAATCTTTCTGCAATGTGGGAGACCTGGGTTTGATCCCTGGATGAGAAGATGTCCTGGAGAAGGAAACAGCTACCCACTCCAGTATTCTTGCTTGGAGAATCCCGTGGACAGAGGAGCCTGGTGGGCTACCGCCCACGGGGTTGCAGAGTCGGTATGACTGAGCGACTACTACTTTCACTTTCTGGAGAGACCTATTATCATTGTGAAAGTGGCCTACTTAAGGCCACCTGTCAAGCCAAGGTGGCAGACCTGGGCCCAGAATCCTCTAACTCAGGCTCCAGCCCTTCCTCTGATGGGCAAGGGTCACCTCTGGTTAGTTCCCTGACCAGGAATGGAACCCAAGCCCTTGGCAGTGAAAGCTGCGGAGTCCTAACCATCAGACTGCAAGGGAATTCCCGAGGGGGATTTTCTTTGTGGCCCTTTTTGTTACTCTTGAATACTGAAACATGTGAATATATTACCTATTTTGAAGCTTAATTCCAGAACTTTCTGTAATGAAAGAAAATGGTGACCAAAGAAAAATTATATAATACACCATAATATGATAGGACATGATATAATGTAATATATTTGGGTTGGAGAGAACTCATCTGGGATTCCTTCTCCATCCCCCTCTTCTTCCCTCCTTTTCTCCACTTCCTCCTCCCTCTCTTCAGGGAAATGCCTTCTCTGGACCAGCCCAGATGGTGAGCTGTCTCTGAACTCATTCATTCATTCACTTGTCATTGATCTATTCACCAAATGTGCTCTGGGACAGAAGAAGGATTTAGGCAGACATAACTCTACTTCCTGCTGTCTATAGGGGGAGAGAGATATTATGAACCCACAACTACCCAACAGTGTCATTGCAATTAGTGAGTGCCTTGACAGAGAGGTGTTGTGGCAGCACAGAAAATGGACCTCACCTAGCCTCCAAGGTTGAAAAGGCTTTTCTGAGGAAGTGACCCCCCCCCACCCCTTTTATTCTTGAACAAGCTCTTATAATTTATTTTGAAAGAGCTAAAAAATGTACAAAAATATAGAAAACATTATCAGGAACCCCATGCAGCCATCACCCAGCTCCCACAATGGGCAACATGGTTAATCTTGTTTTGCTTCTGCACTACCCACTCCCCCACTTCACCCCCACCCAATTATTTTGAAGCAAATCCCAGGCGTATTATTATTTCATCTTTAAATACTTCATTGTGCTGTGCTGTGCTTAGTCACTCAGTTGTGTCTGACTCTTTGGGACTCCATGTACTGCAGTTCACCAGGCTCCTCTGTCCATGGGGATTCTCCAGGTGAGAATACTGGAGTGGGTTGCCATGTCCTCCTCCAGGGGATCTTCCCAACCCAAGGATTGAACCCAGGTCTTCTGCATTGCAGGCAGATTCTTTACCATCTGAGCCATCAAGGAAGCCCAAGAATACTGGAGTGGGTAGCCTATTCCTTATCCAGGGGATCTTCCTGACCTGGGAATCAAAGAGGGGTCTCCTGCATTGCAGGCAGATTCTTTACCAGCTGAGCTACCAGGGAAACCCAAATACTTCATTATGTATCTCTAAAAGATAAGGGGGTGAAGATCTGTCTGCAATATGGGAGACCGGAGTTCGATTCCTGGGTTGGGAAGATTCCCTGGAGAAAGGCATGGCAACCCGCTCCAGTATTCTTACATGGAGAATTCCATGGACAGAGGAGCCTGGCGGGCAACAGTCCATGGAGTCGCAAAGAGTCGGACACGACTGAGCGGCTAACACTTTCACTTTCAAAAGATAAGGACTCTTTAAAAAGAAAAATATCTCAGTTGTAAAGAATCCACCTGCCAATGCAGGAGACATGAGAATCTCTGATCCCCTGGAGAAGGAAATGGCAACCCATTCCAGTATTCTTGCCTGGAAAATTCCATGGACAGAGGAGCCTGGTGGGCTACAGTCCATGGGATTGCAAAAGAGTCAGTCATAGCTAGTGACTAACCAACAACAACAAAAATCACAACACCATCATCATGCCTAAATGAAAGGAACTTTTCCTTGGGAGAGGAAGTGACATTATGCTTAGAGTAGGTGAAGCAGGTGCAAAGGCCTGAGGCAGAGGGGGCATTATATATATATATATATATATATATATATATATGGAATAAAGAGAAGACCTGTGTGGCTGAAGCAAAGAAGAGAAGGGTCGTGGCATCGGCTGGACAATCTAGGGCTTTGTAAGGTGCAGTAAGGACTCTGGCTTTGAACCTTACCCTCATAGCAATGAGTAGCCCATGAGAAAAGTGAAAGTGAAAGTCGCTCAGTCGTGTCTAATTCTGAATTCTCCAGGCTAGAGTACTGGAGTGGGCAGACTATCTCTTCTCCAGAGGACTTCCCGGCCCAGGAATTGAACCAGGGTCTCCTGCATTGCAGGCAGATTTTTTACCAACTGAACTATGAGAGAAGCCCGTAGCCTGAGTGGCTTTAATCAATGTTGAGAGATGATCTGTGGGCAGTGAAAGAAACAATTCCAGCTGAATACCTGGGCCTCCCATTGAGCCTGAATTGTGCTTTCATGTTTTGGAGGTTGAACAGTTATTTATCTCCTTCAAGATGTTCAGACAAGGGCTTCCCTGGTGGTCCAGTGGCTAAGACTACGCGCTCCCAATGCAGTGAGCCTGGGTTCAATCCCTAGTTGAAGAACTAGATCCTGCAAGTTGCAACTAAGAGTTTGCATGCAGCAGCTAAAGATCCCAAGTGCTGAAACTAAGACTCGGTGCAGCTGAATAAATAAATTAATAAATATTAAACAAAAAAGATGTTTTTGATACCTGTGTTCCTATTTGACAGAATGTGAGCTCTGGAATGAGGCCAATTGGAATTGAAATCCCACCTCTGCCCTTTGTAAGGGCTGAGAGTAGGGAAATTTCTCTCCCTTTCCAAGCATCCTTTCCCTCTTCTATAAAAAGGCCCAGAGTCTTGCTTCAGAGTTCCCTGTAGAAATGGGGTGAAATTCCATGGGGAAATTGCAGACTTCCTTGCTTCCTGATCCCTTACTGGGAAATGTGCTGTAGAGTGAAAGAGAAGCCCAGGGCTCAGGGCCCACCGGGGTAGGAGGCACCCAGCCAGCAGCCTTGAGCTCTACTTCCTGCTCTCTCTGAAATCTCGACCTGAAGTTTACAGCCCCTTGGGTGGGGCTAGGGTGGGGATCATGGAGGGAAGCCATATGGCAGCTAAGCTTGCCCACTGGCTGTTGGAGAATGGTGGTGTCCCAGGTAGAAAACTGCAAGCTCTCAGGGAATCAAAAAATGTGGTGGGTCCCCTCCTCCATTGCCAATAGTGTGGTTTTAGTTTTTGATAAGGCCTGAGTCTTCTTCCTGGCTCGAGACCCAAGGCCTCCCAGTCAAGGGCAAGATCCCAGTGATGATTCAGTTGTTACCCTTGGCCAGGATTTGCAGTCTCAGCGTATTTACCCAGGAAAGTGACAGCTCGGGCAGGTCAACACCATTGACTTTCTCTCTTTTTGTGTGCCCATCCTCTAGCCCCTGGCTCAAATGGACGCTTGCACCTGCATGCACATCCACATTACATATTTCCTCGTGTGTATATGCACTTTTCTCTACACAGATTTGTGCATCTACATGTGCATTTTTGCACATAAACAGGTGTGTGTGTATAAACTGACACGTACACACATGCACACATATACTGCCCTGCACATACCCACATTCCTTAAAACATACACACACAAGCAAAAGGGCACATGATCAGATACACCCACCCTCACGTTCATGACGTACACCTGCTGTGGTAGAACGTCTTTAAAGATGGCTGCCATTGCTTCTTTTCTTCTCTGAATGTGCATGCTGCCCTACCTAGCCAAAGGTAAATTCTATTCCATTCCTCTTGGATATCTGTGGAAGAAGTTACATTCTGAGATTTCTGAATCCAAGCTTTATGAGGACTGGCAGTTTTACTTCCTCCTCGCTGGAAGTCAGTAGCTATGTAAGAAGTGCAAACATCCTGAGACCACCATTCTGTAAGGAAGCCCATGCTAGTCATAAAAGAGAGAGAAGCCATGCAGAAGGGCATTCACATGTCAGACAGGCAAACTTAGACCTTCCAGCTCAGCCCACTTACTAGAGGAATATAGCTTTGTGAATGACCCCTGATGATGCCATTTGGGGGAAATGACCACCCAGCCATACCCTGACAAATTCTGATCCACAGAATGATGGGAAATAATAAATAAAACTTTGCTGGTTTAAGCCATTATATTTTGGAACAGTTTGTTATGCAACAAAAGGTCATCAAAACAACCATACACAACACATACTCACACTCACATATACAAAAACTCATGTACACTTCTAAAATGGCATACTTGCATACATACATGCACATAACTTTGTACTAGACAGCTTTTTTTTTTTTTTGCTGTGCCATGCAGCTTTCTGGAGAAGGGAATGGCAACCTACTCTAGTATTCTTGCCTGGAAAATTCCATGGACAGAGGAGCCTGGTGGGCTACAGTTCATGGGGTCACAAAGAGTTGGACTCAACTGCTCACAGCACAGCAGCATGCAGCTGGGAAGCTTCTCTGACCAGGGACATGGCAGTGAAAGCCCAGAACCCTAACTGGTAGGCCACCAGGGAACGCCTGTACTAGAGCCTGTTGGCTATCTATCCAACCCCCATTCCTACTTGTCTTCCTTCCTGACAGAACGGTCAGCTGACTACTGTTCCACCAAGCAGCTTTGGGCGTTGAAAGGCTGTGTCCATCCTCAGTTCCAGGAGATGGATCCTGGTGCGTCTAAACCAAACTTGGTGGTCTCATCCCCTCAACAGATAGGCTTAACTTTGGCCATGCTTAGTTCTACCCCGTGAGACATGGCGGGGAGGCAGGCTTGGGCTTCTGGGAAAATTTCCTCTCTAGGGAAAGTCACCCCAGAAACATTAGATTCTTTTTTTTTTTTTGGCTGTGCCATGAGGCATGCAAGATCCTGGTTCCCCAGTTAGGGATCAAATCCGTATTCCCTGCAGGGAAAGTGTGGACTCCCAACCACTGGACCACCAAGGAAGTCCCAGTCACTGGATTCTTAATGTCTGAGTGTGGGATATGGAAACACTACAGTCGTTTTGTGACCACTAGAGTGCAAAATTAAGCCAAGAGGAGAGGTTGTTGTTGTTCAGTTGCTAAGTCATGTCTGACTCTTTGTGACCCCATGGACACCAGGCTTCCCTGTCCTTCACTATCTCCTGGAATCTGCTCAAACTCATGTCCATTGTGTTGGTGATGCCATTCAACTGTCTCATCCTCTGTCGCCCCCTTCTCCTCCTGCCCTCAATCTTTCCCATCATCAGGGTCTCTTCCAGTGAGTCAGTTCTTTGCATCCGGTGGCCAAAGTATTGGAGCTTCAGCTTCAGCATCAATCCTTCCAATGAATATTCAGGGTTGATTTTCTTTAGGATTGACTGGTTTGATCTTGCTATCCAAGGGACTATCAAGAGTCTTCTCCAGCACCACAATTTGAAAGCATCAGTTCTTTGGTGCTCAACCTTCTTTATGATCCAACTCTTACATCCATATGTGACTATGGGAAAAACCATAGCTTTGATTACAGGGGTTTCCCTGGTGGCTCAGGTGGTAAAGAATCCACCTGCCAATGCAAGAGACCTGGGTTTGACCACTGGGTTGGGAAAATCACTTGGAAAAGAAAATGGCAACTCACTCCAATATTCTTGGAGTGAGAATCCCAGAGAAGCCCATGGACAGAGGAGCCTGGTGAGCTACAGTCCATGGGGTTGCAAAAAGTCAGACACAACTGAGCAACTAAGAATGCATTTATGCACTTTTGTTGACAGGCCCTTAAACACGTTATTGATCAAAGCAATCAGTCAGCTTGAGAGTCCTCCTTCCCCACCTCTGGAATTCCAGTCACATGAGATAAAAGCTTATTTATTGTTTGGGAAGGGTTGTTTGCTTGTTTTACTTGAAGTCTAAGGCATCCAACCTACCCTCCCTTCAGTAAATAAACACTCTCACATAACTATATACAAACAGATCCAGGGTCATGCTCAGAAAGTCACAGCTGAGCACATGTGCACCCTGCTTTGCATGGATACACCAGTATATAATAATACTCCACATGTATACCCAATTCTATATACCTACACACAAAGGAAGTATATATCCTTCTACATATACAGATACAGGGTCACCTACACATACTTTCTTGGGACATACATGCAGTTTCATTGTAGAGTACCGCAGATATAAACGTTCCTGGGCAACGTGCATTTTTGTATAGAGACGCTCAGACACGCACACTGGCCACATTAATGTCAACATGAATTTAGCAATTCCTGCCCGTGTCTGAATAGCAACAACAAACATAGAGCTCTGAGGGGGTCCCTGGCTGCAGTGAGAAACCACTGGCAGAGGCCAGCAGCACCTCACCTGGGACTGATGGAAAGTTCTGGAAATAGGAAAGAGGGACTTGCAGACCAGAACATGGCCCAGGAGGTGGGAGGTCAATTCCAGTGTGACCTAGACATGCATGGCAGCCCCATGGTCATGGAGGCTGAACTCAACACAGCACCAAGGAAGGCTGTGAGAAGCTTGTTTCTACCCTCAAAGGGGAAAAAATAACCTCCCCCACAGCTGCCCAGCACCTCCTTCAACACTAACACAAAACCTGTGCTGTGAGGAAGCCCAAGCTAGTTTGCCCTCCAAGGGCCTCTTTTGGCTTTCTCTGTGGGCAAGCATTTGACACTGCATGAAAGTGGATTTTCACCAGTTATGGCAATGGACATTCCAGGTAAAGATGAATACATGCAAAGGCACCGTGGTGCACAAGAGCATCATGAGTGTGTGGGGTTCCAGTGACCATGGGTTTGCAGCAAAGACAGGGCACAGCAGAAAATCAGGCTGGGGAGCGGGGCAAGGGCCACATCAGGCCCCTGGGTTTATCTCTAAACTCCACAATTCCACTCAATCACCCTGACTCCCAGTGTCAAGAAACTCTGCACTTAGGCCTTCACCCTCCATTCACTGCTCTTCTCATGCCAAACTCCTACATCAAACTGATAAACCAGATGTTTTGGGAGATAAGGTAGCAATAAGCAAATTTCCTTTTTGGCTTGCTTATGAGGTTATTTGGACTTTATTCTCTCAATCCCCCTTCTTTTGTATCTTCCTATAATCCAGATGATCTACCAAGGATATATTTTTTTTTTTACCAAGGATACTTTTGTTAAATTAGTTTTTATTTATCATCTGATAATGTAAACTCATCTTTCAGAAATCTCATATTTCTAAAGTTTAATAAAACACAAGTTCTAAAATAGAACATATGATACAATCTTATTTTGGGTTAAATGTTGGCATGTATATTTATGTGCATATCATAATAACATCTGGAAGGGTACATACACCAACTAGTAAACAACTGTCATATCTGAGTGATGGGATTACAAATGATCTTTCTAGATTTTAGGCTTTACTGCATTTTCTGAAATTTTATGCAAAAACCATAATTTACTTTTCATATCAGGAGAAAATGATGTCAACTTAAAAAAAGAATTTAGGGACTTCCCTGGTGGTCCAGTGGCTAAGACTCTGTGCTTCCCCCCATTCCCCCTAGTGCAGTGGGCCCGGGTTTGATCCTTGGTCAGGTAACTAAATCCCACATGCCACAACTAAGGTTAGATGCCACAACTAAAAGATCTCACATGCCAAAACAAAGATTGAGTGTCTATGTGCCTCAACTAAGACCCCACTTAGCCAAATAAATAAATAAATAAAAATGATATATTTTTTAAAAGAGTTTATCCACGTTTTAGCCAAAAGTATAAAGCTGGTTGTTAGAAAGGAAGAATAAAGGGAGAATTTCAGGGAGAAGTGGGGCAAGGAAACATGAAATCAACTTGTGGATGATAGACTTTTCCAAGTGTCCTCAGAGCCCTGACCTAACCCTTATCGCCATAGTCTTGCAGCCATGCTCTGAACCAAGGCCAGACAAATAGGTAAAGAAGGTCATAGACAGAGCTGCCACCTCAAGGATCGTCTGATGCCACTGGGGTGGCAGCCTGAGTCACATGTGCAGGAAATGCAGGCCAGGCAGTAAATGAGAGGTGAGCTAGAGAGCTAAGTCACCTGGGGGTAAGGAGACATGTGTTCTGTTCCCAGCTCTGGCGCCCACCAACCTTGGGCAAGTTGCCTCACCACTGTGAACCTCAGTCTCTTATCTGTCAGAGGTATAATGACGATAACCAGGATACTGTGATGATCAGATGAGATAACCTATCTGTGACTGCTTTGTGAACTCTGACGGGTGCCATAGGTCACCTGTCAACCTGCAACAGGGCCTCTAAGGTAAAGGAGTCCATCCCTATGATGAAAATTCAGACTCAAGCTGTACTCAAGGGGAGTAGGCCGTGTGGGGCAGGGTCGCCTTTGGATGGGGCTTCCCTGGTGGCTCAGCAGTAAAGAACCTGCCAGCCAATCCAGGAGTCACGGGTTTGATCCCTGGGTCAGGATGATCCCCCACAGGAGGAAATGGCAACCCACTCCAGTATTCTTGCTTGGGAAATCCCATGGACAGAGGAGCCTGGCGAGCTATAGTCCACCAGGTCACAAAGAGTCAGACACAATATAGTGACTGAGCATGAGCACCACCTTTAGATGGTCTTTAAAAATCCCACCACACAGGCTGCAGCCTGCCCAGGTCTGACATTACACACAGAACGTAAACTCAGCAAGGGCATTCATGTCTTCGCTCAAACACCCACACAGCTGGATCCCCACAGGAGAGCAGTACAACCCAAGGAGAAAACATGGGAGCGGCCACTTCCTGGCCTTCTCTGAGTGTTCAGTCCTTTCATAATTTAACTGCCTGCTCTGGGTAATTACTCTTCTCCTGCTTATGAGCTTAGAGCAATAGTAGTTCCCGATTACTAGAGACTTAATAAGGCTAAATTATAATGAGTGTCCCGTGGAATTACATACCGCATTAGCACCAAATGAGTTCATTAGAAATTCATTAGGAGTGACTCCTATGGCTGCCACAGGTATTAATCATGGTTAGCCAGCGGCAGGAGAGGGGGCAATGAATAACTGCACAGGAACTGTATGAAGACCTTTCGGCACCTGACTTTGGCCCGAAGCAATATTTTTCAAGGGTCACAGGCTGCTTTGGTTCTAAGTTTGGAGGGCAGGTTGTTTGGATGTTGTTGGGTCTATCTTCCTTGCTTCCTCCTCCTTGCTGGCTATGGCCCCAGCAAGGGTCAGATGGGGAGACATGGCGGGATGGCTCTGGGGTGCTGAGAAGTTATAAAGAGGATTCAGGGTTCTTGCCTGCCCAGCATGCATTTCCCCTTCCTCTGTATGAGTCCTTACCTGCTCCTTGAAGAGCTGGCTACCTCTACCCCTGCTGCACATGGGTTTTCATGGGACTGTCAGTCAAGACCCTCCACCCAACCCCAGGAGTTGAATACAACCTAGTTAGGCCAACAGAACTTTGTCTCCTGGTACTTTTTTTTTAAGCGTGCTTGCTCAGTTGCTCAGTCATGTCCAACTCTTTGTGACCCCATGGATTGTGGCCTGCCAGGATCCTCTGTCCATGGGATTTTTCAGGCAA